TTAGCCTGGCCTTTTAGATTCAAGGGCAGAGGAACCAAAAGCAGGTTATGTGGTTAAAGACTCAAGAGGCTTAAATAAAAAGAAACCGGCTGAATTTACATTCCAACCAAATCCAGAGACCATGTGGTCCAATTTTTTGTCAGTCCTTATGAGCGAAATAAGCTCTTAAGTGGTCATTCATATTACAAACTTTGGGTTATGGAATGAATTACGACAGGACTAATTGGCTATCTCAACACAAAAACACAACTACTATCAGAAAAAAAAAATTACCACAGGCAGACAAATTTATTCCATTTTGATATAAAACTGCAATAGAAAACCAAAACACTATAAGGGCTCTTTGGCATAAATTTCCACTCTTTTGCTCTATGCAATATGGCAGCCACCAATTTTTCAATTCCAATGTAAATTGAAATAGCCACAGTAGGCAACATTTCCATCCCTGCAGAAAAACTGCACTGCTCAAAGACCTACATAAGAATCATGAACAAGTTCACATGACCTGTTTATAGTCCTTAGCATCTCAGTACCTCGATAGGTCTCAGGGTCATATACACCAAACCAAGTACTGCTGCTAACTTCAAGGTCATAACAGATTTGCCCTTTATTTTCCACAAAGCTCAATAAATTAAAAAAAAAAAAAAGTCTGTTCTTAAGTGATGCAATATGTATACCTCAGAGAGTTACACTATATAAAGAGCAGTAGCCCTCTCCTCTTGGGGACTAAAGGACCCAGGTGCCCCAAATAAAAGATTATTAAAAACAATTACAGTTCGCAAAACAATAAGAACGCTGTGGCCACTGCAGAGCTGAGTTCAGAAAAAATAAACAGTTTTCTTACTTCATCACTAAAACTTGAGCTAACATGAAGACACTCAAAAGGTACTCTCTGCAGAGAATATTATTAAAAAACAAGTTATAGTTACGATGGATAATTGTAGATTCCTGCTTTCAAGGAATAAGATACACCAAAAAATCAAAACCTTTAATTCAGTAACAACTGAATGTCCAAACTCATTTCTTAATTGCTGTTTTCCCTCTAAGAGAGGATGGCAGAAATCTTTCAATTTCATCCTTTCTTAGGCTTCCACTGCTTACTTATTGGATCATTTTCCAGAGGAAGGTGGCATAAGGATCCAATCCAAACTCTTAATTTGAAGCAGTTTTTTAACTTCATTCCCCAGGTTATACAACACTGAGCCAAGCCAGATACATGATTTCCACACTGCTTTGGAAACCCAGCTGCATGCTAACTCAAGGTTTCTCAAAGGAGCAGTGCTGACATTTGGGGCCAGATAATTCTTCATTGTGGGGGCTGTCCCGTGCATTGCAGGGTGTTTAGCAGCACCCCTGGCCTCTACCCACTAGGTATCAGTCATAGCCCTCCTACTCCTCCCCAACCCTAGTATCGACAACCAAAACATCCCCTGAGCATCCCCAGGCAAAATCAGTCCTGTTTGAGAACCACTGCTTGTCTTTCTTTCTTTTTATGTTTATTTATTTTTGAGAAAGAGAGAGAGAGAGGGAGAGCGAGCGAACATGAGTAGGGGAGGGGCAGAGAGAGAGAGAGAGAAGGAGACACAGAATCTGAAGCAGACTCCAAGCTCTGAGCTGTCAGCAGAGAGCGCGATGCAGGGCTCGAACTCACAGACTGCGAGGTCATGACTTGAGCCGAAGTCAGGCGCTTAACCGAATGAGCTACCCAGGCGCCTGGAGAACCACTGCTTTAACCCAAAGAACGTTCTTGAATATCTCAACCCTAATTCTTTATATGCATTTGGTGCTCCACCAAATCTCTGTGTTGAGACTCTGTCTCACAATCCAGCAAATATTTGTAGAACCTCTAGGACACATCAAGGGCTATAGGAGATAAAGAGACAAGACAGATTCTTCCCTTCCCTCAAGCAGATTTCTTGGGGTAAGTGCATAAAGAACTGTAGTATCACATTCAATTATATGTTTTGAATTGCTGATGTTTTTTCCAGTGGTACTCTTGTCTTACCAAACTAAAAACACCTTGAGGGCAAAGACCATAATCTGCTCTGGAACACCAATACTGGCTCAACAGCCAATAAAAACAAATGATTATAAACTTCATCACAACAAGGTGACAATTTCCTATAGGCAGTAAAATCTCCACAGTTAACCTGGACAGTAAGTTAACCTCTCTCAGCTATAGTTTGTTCCCCTATAAAATGGGGAGGGGGCGTCTGGGTGGCTCAGGCAGTTGAGTGTCTGATGCTTGATTTAGGCTCAGGTCGTGGGATTGAGTCCCATGTCAGGCTCAGTGCTGAGCATGGAGGCTGCTTAAGATTCTCTCTCTCTCTCCCTCTGCCCCTCTCCCTTGTGCGCGTCCTCTCTCTCTCTCAAATAAATTAATTAAATAAATCAAATGGGGAGAAAATGACTCTTCACAGGATTAAATCAGATAATACAAGTAAATCTTTTTCCACTTTCTGGCACAGAGTAAGCATTCAATTAACGTAAGTTACCATTACTATTATTTTAAGAGCAACAAATCCTACCTCAAGGGGAAGAACTTGCTCTGGGCCACAGTAACAAACCCCTACATGACAGAAGAAGAAACCAACACTCACCCTGTTAAGGACAAGAGGAAGAAACTAACCAGAAGTATTTTATCAATGTCCTGGGAACAAAAAGAGAATTCAGGAACCAATTAAAAGGGGTGAGGGGGAGAGGAGACTCACTCAGAGGCAAAACCACCATCCTCCAACATAGTCCTGGACTATTCTTAAGACTTTTCTATTTAAAATGTTTGGGTTTAGGGGCACCTGGGTGGCTCAGTCGGTTAAGTGGCCGACTTCGGCCCAGGTCATGATCTCGTGGTCCATGAGTTCAAGCCCCGCGTCGGGCTCTGTGCTGACAGCTCAGAGCCTGAAGCCTGTTTCAGATTCTGTGTCTCCCTCTCTCTGACCCTCCCCCGTTCATGCTTTGTCTCTCTCTGTCTCAAAAATAAATAAACGCTAAAAAAATAAAAAAATAAAAATAAATAAATAAATAAAATGTTTGGGTTTGTTTGCCATAAGCACACAAGGAGCTAAAGGGGAAGTTGAAAAGAAAAGAAAAAATCCTCAACTTATAACTATTGACATATGCAAGGGACAGATGTTTATGAGACTTCTGAGTGTTCATTTGCTGAGTCTCTTAGAAATTATGCTTAAAATTTTTATTGCTATAATGTTAAATACATGCCATCAATTTTGAATATACTACAAAGCATAAAAGTTCACATGAAGGAAGAAAAGACAAAAATTGTTAGATATTTTAAAGAGAACATAAAGTCATGGGGAAAAGCTGGGTGACTCAAAGGTGTGTGTGTGTGTGTGTTCCACTGAAGTAGCATTAGAAGATGGGAGAGATTTGGGATAGAAGTAAAAGACGAGAAAAACCGTGCTGGAAGACACACATCCAGGAACACCTCCCACAGCACCTTATTCTCGTAATAACGAATACCACCAGTATGGTTATGTACCAGGAGCTAGGCACCAGTGCCTCGCTCTCACTGGCTCATGTAATTTCCCCAGCAGACAGTCTTATTAGACAGGTAACAGCAGCACCCACATTTGAGATGACAAAACGGAGATAGGGAGAAGTGACTTGCCCAAGGTCAAATCAGTAAACTGAAGATTCAGACTCCGACCCAGGCGCCACCTCTACCGCTACAATTTATGGTGCCTATTTTAATTTATACTTGCCACTTAGCAAAACCAGTTGTCTCCCCCTACCCTTTGAACCTCCTGGTGTGGTAAGCATAAGGAGGCCCGAAAGGTGAAGTGCGCCAGATGCACCCTTCGCCCCTGGGATAGCGAACCCTTGCCGAGGAACTGGCGTGGGTAGAAACGGGGACGGTCTCCCGAACCAGAAGAGGAGGGTGCCGGCGAATGAGGGAGGTCGCCAAAGTCCCTAAGTCAGCCCCTACGTCCTGCCTTGGCTCTGGCCATGACGTTCACTCAGAAGACCCGGAGCCTACCGGCTCCCGCCCGGCTCTCGTCTCCCGCACTTTGAGCGACGGAGAGGGGCGGCGAGGCGCGGGGGCCCGCGTGCAGCGGCCAGGACCAAGCGGGGCTCAGGCCAGCGGAAGGCGAGGCTCCCCAGGCGGACGCGGGCAGAGAGCGCGCGGACAGGTGGGGAGCGGGGTGCGGAGCCACAAGCAGGGGGCAGCGAGGCCAGAGGGGCTGGGGTCCGCGGCCGAGGAGGAACCGGCGGGCGAGCTCAAGAGGCGCCGCGGGCAGAGCAGCCCCGTCACCGCCAGCTGGGCCGATGGGAGGACGGAAGCGGGGCAGGAACCACGCCATTTCGAAAGAGGAGTAGCGAACAAGCTCGAGCGCAGCCCCAGGCTGGGCGGCGGGGATGGGGGCAGGGGCGCGGCCAGGGGCAGCGAAGGCGGGGGCTCTGCGCGGCAAGGGGCTGCCCGGGCGGGTCCGCTCCGCCGCGGGGCGCGGGACAGAGCGGGGCAGGGCGCGGCCCGAGGGTCGCACGACGCGCCGGGCCCCGAGGCCGGACGGACCCACCCGCCGGCCCCCGGCTTGCGTACCTGAGGCGGCCGCCTGGCTCCCCTCCACTCCCGGGCTCTCCCCGGCGCGGCCCGCCGGCCCCCCGGCTGCCTGCCGCTCCGACATCTGCAGCCAGCGCCGCGAGCGCCTCCGCCGCCACCAGCGAGTGGCTCCGGAAACAGCCGAAGGCCGAGCGAGCACGGCGGCGGCGCTCCGGGAGGAGCCGAGTTGGGCCCGCGGGCCGGAAGGGGCCGAGTGCCGGCCCCGAGGGGCCGCAGGGGCTTTGGGCAGCGGAGGCTGGCGACGCGGACGCGGGGAGGGTGACTGCGTGCTTTTGAACGCAGGTTTTTAGTCAGGGCTAGACAGAACAAGCAAAACCTTGGGAAGATTCAGGAAGACCCGACCGGAAATCATGGTATCCATAGAGACGCTATCGGAAGTTGGGGTTGCTAGGAGGCATGAGCGCGTCGGCCAATGTGCGTCATGGCTGAAGTCCCAGAATATTACGATTCAGGCTCGGATGAAGGAGACCTGGAGTATGAGGACCTCAAACTGCCTAGGTCACTTAAAATGGCTCAAGATGGCGAAGTTGACACCACGGCAGAAGTAGGCCTGGAGCTACAGATTGACCAGGAGCCACAACCAGAGGCGGAGGAAGAGGACCTCAAATTGGGGGCGCCAGAGAATGTATACCTACACCTAAAACCGACCAGCATGTCTGAGGAAGAGATTCCCAGGGAGTCAGAGATAGACCTTTCTAGCAAGACTGAACCAGGGATGTCCCGGGAGGCACAGTCAGAAACACTCAGAGAGATGGAAGAGCTCTTCCAGGATTTGGATGTCCTTATGCATGATAAGGAAGAACCAGGCTTAGAGTCACCAGAGGAGACCAAACTAGATCTTAGAGAGGATGTACTCATAGAGTTGGCTGAGGAAACAGATCTGGAGCTACCAAAGGAGACCAAAGGGGCCTCAATTAGTGAGACTAATTTAGAGTTACCAGAAGAGACCAAATTGGAAGTTCTGGAGGGTTCACTTAGAGCACAATATGAAGAAACAGGTCTAGAAACTTCAGAGCAGACCAAACCTGAATTTCCGAGTGAGAAACCAGGAAAATCAATTGAAGAGGCAGATCTACAACCGCCAGAAGTGACCACACCAGAGATTCCAAAGGAAGCACAGAGAGAGTCACCTAGGGAGGAAAGGACCGAACCATCTGAGCAGGCGAAACCAGAGTTGCCAGGAGGGAAACCAAGAGAAACTGAAGAGTCAGGTCTGGAGCCCACAGAAGAGACTAAAACCGAGGCTCCACAGGAAATACAAAGAAAAGCAACTGAGGAGAAAGAGACAGACCCACCTCAACAGACTAAAGCAGAGTTTCCAAAGGAGAAACTAAGAAATTCTACTGAGGAGGCAGGTCCACAGCCCCCAGAAGAGACTAAATCAGAGATTCCAGAGGAGGACGGAAGAAAATCAACTGAGGAGAAACAGACAGAGCCACCTCAGCAAACTAAATCAAAGTTTCTAGACCAGATACCAACTAAGTCTAGTGAAGAGACACAAAGGAAATCAACTGAGGAGAAAGTTCTAGAGCCACTAGAAGTGACCAAATCAGAATTTCCTGAGGAAAAATCAAGAAAATCAATCAAGGAAACAGGTCTAGAGCCATCAGGAAAGACAAAACCAGAAGTTCAAGAAGAGATACTGAGAGAATCAACTGTGAAGAAAGTTTTAGAACCACTAGAGGACACTAAATCATCAGGTCAAAATGATAAGCAGAGAAAATCTACTGAGGAGATAGGACTAGCACCACCACAGAAGATCAAATCAGAGGAGACAGTAAGAGAGTCAACAGAGAAGAAAGGTCTAGAGCCACCAGAACAGACTAAACCAAAGTTTCCAAAGGAAGAACCAAGAAAATCAACTGAGGAAACAGGTCAAGTGCTGCCACAGAAGACCAAACCAGAGGTTCAAGAGAAGACACAAACAGAGGAAGCTACAGAGAAAGATCTAGAGTTACCTGATAAAGCCAAACTACCACTAAGAAAAGAGACACATGTAGAATTTTCCAAGGAAGATTGGCCAGAACTAGTTAAATTTAAGCAGTCTGTAGACAAGGATCAGCTAGAGTACTCTGACTATCAAACAAGAACGTGGTCGGTAAAAGAAACCAAGAAAGCTAAAAGAGATTCTATGTTTGGGTCTCCCACAATAAGTGAAATAGACTCAATAAGTACAAGTTATGAGTTCTCCAAAGAACATAATGGACTGTTTGAGATTACTGATACCAGTAGTGACTTCTACGCATATGTCTCAGATTATCAGAGGGATTTGGGGGAGCCTTTTGGTGAAATAGTTGAAGATTTGTCCCCAGAGTTGAAGGAACTGGCACACAAAGATGAAGAAACCTCGCCAAAAGAAAGTATAGAGCTACAATTTGAGTATCTTAAATGGAGCCCAGAGAAAGTTGCAGAGTGGATTAGCAAGCTAGGCTTTCCTCAGTACAAGGTATACAAAAATAATGTTTTTAAAGATCACATTCTTTCATCTTTCTCTTATTCCTCTTACCCTTACCTGAGCTCTTGCTTCTTCTTCCCTAGAAGGAGCATAGAAAAGTCCTGGACTATGGTAGAGGTAACTTGGATTTTAATTTTGGCCTTTCTACTGATGTATTTTGTATTTTGATAGAGGAAGGGAGGGTCACATTTGTTTCCCTATTTATCACAGTAAGTATACTTCTTTGTAATTCTTGAATAAAGACTAAAAAAATTATATAGGCCTCTTTTCATAGATAAGTATCTTTCTTTTTTGACAGATTTTGTCCAAGGTAGACTTTTGGTACTTTGTCCAGTTTAGTGTTAGCTCCCTTAACTTGTACTACTAATCTTAAGTGTCTGCCCCAAAAATGTCATCTGTATCATGAGCACCTAACAGTATTAATGTAAATAGTTCATCAAGAGTAGTTCTATTAAAAAGAGAGTTAATGCCAACTATACTTCAATAAAAAATAAAAATAAAATGTTAAAAAAGGAAGCTGGGAAAAAAAGATAAGAGAAAATCTTATTTCGTTGATGCCAGCTATGTTCTTAGGCTGCCACAAAACAACATAAGATCTGTAATCTTTTGCACCCCAGTACTGAGAAATGTAATTAAGCAATGAAAGAAGCATTGGTTGTATCATGC